ACAATGAGCATCATATTAGTTTCTTTTATACTTTCACTTTGTTTTTTCAGCTATTTTCACCAAGCAATTACTGAGCACATACTATGTGTCTAGCACTTAGTATCAGAAAAACAAACATGCATAAGATATGCTCCTCTTCTTTCAATTTCTAGGGAGGGAAATATCAAGATCAATTATGAGAAATGTTTAAATCAGATATAAAAATTAAAGCATAAAATTAAAATTTTACTTCGAATAGTTACAAAAGAATCAGAAAGATGGTAGCCTTTCATTTGACCTTGAAAAATAATTAGGAATCAGTAAGATAAAAATGATGTCAATTCTAGGTGTCACCTGATGCATTTATAATGGTAATGAGCTGAACAGTCTGGGGTGAGGATTGAATAAGGTAATGTGCAAAGACCTAGCCTAGTTCCTGGCACAGAGTCAGCTAGCTCCCTATGAATATGTATGATTATCATTATCTCTATTATGATTTCTGAGGCTCTCATGGTAAGATCATTTCTGATATCTTTGAATGTTTGTAATTAAGAAAGTGTTCCTGGTGATGAAAGAAACCATAACAATGCCATTGCTAATGATAAAAAGCAGAGAGAACACCCTTTGTTTATATTAAATTATAGATGTCTAAGTCAGAAGATGTTATCTATCTCTATAACTGGTCACTTTGAACTTCAGGAAGCTTTTGGTCTGGATCAATGGCAGGATTTGAAGTATCACACCCTGATTTATTTCCCAAACTATTTTTTTCTCCAGAATTTGTATCATCGTGATTATCTCTAGTTATATAAAATGATCATTATAATGGCATGACCAACTTAACATTTAGAGTTTTCAAAGCGCTTTTGTGTGCATCTTCCTATTTTTCAATGTTTCAGATGATCACTTTTTTGAGTTATATTTTATATCACGATGTTCACACTCTGAGACTGTCTATTCTCTCCAAGCTTTCTCTAAGCATCTCTCACTCTTCTCAGTATCAAAGGCTCACACCAGGTACTGTTTATGAAGAGTATCAGTAATCAGTGTTCTTCTGTGACAGAGTATCAGAGATTTGGAGACCATTTTTGAACTAGCAAAACTTCTATTGTAGCTTCATTATTAAGAATG